TATATATATATAAAGGTCAGAGTCTGCCACTGCTACTCCCATCTGACTCCAAGATTTGTTCCATCATAATCAATGCAATTGGCTGGTGAATAAGATACAGTTTAGCACGAACATGAATTTGGCCTATTTAAGCCCTGTGATTTTTCTCCCTTTCAAGTGCTTAGCTTGTTGCTCTCAATTCTTGTGATGTCATCTTTTTTACTCATTATGCAGAAGTAACTGAACCTGATTTTTCTGCTGTAGAAACAGAGGGAGAGAGAGAGAATTAAAAGTATAACTTGAAGGCTGTCTTTCTACATCATAAAGAAGCAAATAAAGTTCTTTTTTCCCTTTCCTTTTACAGGTCACATTCAGGAATGTAAATAACTTTTGTTCAGGGTTATTAATTTTCAACGAGATTTTCAATAAAATATTTATGCTATTAACTCTGATGAAACTACTTACATCCACAGAAGAGTTAAATATGGTAGTTTTTGCAGGATCAAGCCTTGACTAAGACTTGTCTAAATTTGAAAGTTAATTTGGATTATGGTATGAATTTAAAGTGTTATAGCTACTCCTGAATAACAACATGTGTGGACACACTTTTATTATTCCATTGTTTTATTTATTAAAAAAGAGAGAGTGCCTTATTCCTCTTTAACTTAATCCCTTTCCAGTGAATAAAAATTCCTGAATCACTCATTTATGAGCAGTCTTTTAAGTTTAGATCCTCAAAGGCATCTTGGTATTCTCAGTAGAGGAACCTAAATACCTTTGAGAATCTGGACCCCTGTCTTTTATTAGCCTCCCCTGTAAAGATTTAGCAGCCATTATATTGGAATATTAAAACCCACATTACCCATCCAAAGTCAATTTTACTCCCAAACTACATTATACAAACTAAAATCCTATATAGTGATTTCCAAAAAACGAAAACACTCTCACACAAAAACATTTTGTCTTTGGGGCTCTGTATAATGTTAAGAAAGTATATAGCCATTTTAAGATTGAGACTGATGCTGTTCCTATCCATGATTTTTTACATACAGCATAAGCATGAAGCATAAAATATATGTGACTACATAAATATATATGACTACATATATTGGAGAAAAATATCACCCAATCAGACAAAATATCCACTCGATACATTTTTTTGTTAAAAGCTGCCTATATTTCAGTGCTGCGTGGTTGTAATTCAATACAAATGTACTAAAATTAGGTATGTTTGCAATGTTATTATCATGTTTTCAGAAGTATAGCAGCAGGCAAAAAATGAGTGTCTACACTGATGGAGAAGCATCAGTTGAGAAGTGATAGGAATCCCTCTCAAGTAAGGGGGCTTCTGCCCTCTCCTCTCCCCACCACACACATTCTTTTACTACTTCTCTCCGGAGCTCAGGTTCTTCCTCCTTATCTTCATTCGTAGTCATAGGGAATGGGCAGTTTCTAAAGGACTGGGTCATGTGAAGTCATTCCCATCACTTCAGCTGGGGCTAAGCCTGTGACTTGCCACAGGGCAGAGAGTTGTCTTTGAGTGATAACATCCAAAGGGAAGTGCAAGAGTACCTGTTTTTTGACTTCACTGACAGGTTTTGGAAACCTTTCTCTGTCACAGGAGTGATATGACAACATACTACAGCACTCACAGGAGCTTTTAATGACCTCCTCTCTTTATAGGGAATCAGACGGCAATATATGTGGGAAGTTAGGATGCATGGGGGCGGGGATGCAGGATGGTATCATGGGCAGGTGACACAGCATCTACACAAGTCTTCTGTCTCTAAATTTACCCATTGTTTCTATTATCTATACAGCTTCAATGGTGAGAGCAAGAGTGAGAGAACTAGTATCCATGATACAGGGGTATAGGTTGCAGCCGTGTTGGTCTATTTTAGTTGGTCTGATAAAAGATATCAGATTTCCCCAAAGAACCTTGTCTGCCTGGTATCCATGAGACATACAAAAAACTAGAACTCTTCGTTCCAAAACGATACCTTTTATTAGACCAACTGGGAAATGACAAGAAAGTTGTCCTTTTCTGAAAGCTTTTGGGATCAAAGTCCCTTTGTCAGGTTCTGGGAAAAGTATAGATGGTACAAAATGGTAAAAAGTGCCCATGGGTAGGAAATAAACTTCATTTTTGCACAGAGGGAGCTGAGGATGGAAGGCTGTCGCTCTGGGTCCATGAGAGTGTCTTTGTGAGCTAGTATCCATGAGGACACTTGTCTACACTGCTACCACCAACAGAGCTGAACTGAGGGCACCAGTGTTAGGGTTGTTTACACAGGGGCACGCAGGAAAGTTGAGGCAGCTAAAGAGGAATATTAAGCTACAGTGATGGCAAAGCAGTTTATTCCTAAATGAAAGAAGCCACATGGGGTTCATGGGTGTTGGTTGTAGCCACATGGGATTCAATGCAATTAAGTTATGTGCATGCTCTGACTTCGCACCTTCCCTGGATTCCCCTTAGCTTGCCTGAGTGTCTTCAGAATGAGAGTAGGGGGAACAGATCTCCTGCAAAGAAAGCTAAGGGGGGCATGTCACGGAGAGGAGTTCCCTGGCTTGCAAGGAATGGGCACAAGGACTTTGGCTATCTCAGGAAGCTGGCCTGAGAGAAATCAACACAAATGGGGGAGGTCTTATGGGGAAAATGAGTGTCTTTATTTGGCCTGCACAGAAGGAACAGTGTAGAGACTGGCCTCCTCAATGGCTTCCAAAACATGATCTTGTCCTCTGGCTGGGAGAAAACCATCCACCAGCAGCTTCCTACAAACCACCCCAAGAGCAGTGCGGGGTTGTACTTCCTCTTGCATACAACTTAATCTGATAATGATGGAGGTTTACTAATCGCGGCTTGAATACACCGAGGGCACACACGGCTCCCCTCCACGGGCACAACCAGGGCTCCTCGGGCGCTGCGCAGGGCCGGCCTCCAGAAAGCCAGGGCAGGAGGGCGAGGAAAGGACCTGAAGCCACAACAAGAGGCGGGAGGCGAGGTTTGCTTTGCCCGCACATACTTCCTCGCTTCCAGCTTGCCTCGGGTCTGCGAGAAGCCAATGGAGAAGAGCTGGGCGAGTAATAACGGAGCGGGGAGGATGAAGCACGAGGATTTTATTATGACCGCGCCCTGGCGCGGGGCCCCGCGAAGGAGGCGATCCCGCCGCTCGCCCGCGCCGCTCTAGCGAAGGGGCCTGAAAGAAACGAGCTGCAACTTTCCGCCTCGGCCCGCACGGCTTAGCCCGGCCCCGCAGCTGCCTCAGAGGC